TGCTACTGCTTCTGCTGCTGGTCCCGCCCCAGGAGACAATCGAATAGTCGTGTAACTGCTAAGATTTCATGCAGTTATATGACTATTCAATTACCCAATAGCTAATATCTCTAATACACGGTTACATGCTCACATACCTACTGGGAACATTTGTGGGCCTGCCTGAGTGCCCCAGTTTAGGGAAGTGCAACCTGCATCATTTAGCATTTTTGTGGTATTCATGTAGGCATCTTAGCCATCTTCCCATTACAGCAGATGGGGGATAGAGGGACAAGAGAGAAAAAAAAGTGTGAATAGTATGTGCGCAAAACTCTGAGGAATGAAAGCAACATGTCAAAGATTTCTTAACAGTTTCTCTCCATAAAATATGGGGCCAAACATATTAATTTCCTTTTTCCTTCAGTCCATGTTTCCCCCACACTCTCTCTATTTTTTCCAATCCAATGCTGCTCCTCCAATTTACACGGCATCAGCATCTCCATTTGTAAAACTGATCTTCAACAGAGGGACCATCAGTATATTTCCTGGGGCTTGTCAGCACATAATTTTTGTACTGCTGTAACTCTCCCAGTCTGAAAATAGAATTGTTCAAATGTTGCAACCTCCTACCGTGGATGCAATTATATCAGAATAAAGATGCTTTATAACAGAACAGCTAATCCGTATGGAAAGCTATACACAGTCAATACAACTGTGACAACAGCTGGGGCTATGCAGATGTGACTGTTTTGATAAAATTACACTCCTCACCACCACAGTTAAAGTAGTACAAAACCTGTAAAAATCTGACCTGATCGAAAAATGTCTACTTCCTCCCTTTCAAAACTCTTATAAAATGACCTGAGTCATCCTGGGATTGGCATGTGGGGGAGGTGTTATCAATGCTGGCCATTTCCAGAAATCAAAATAGATGGATTTTCTCTTTGTTGTATTCTACATATTTGTTTTATATTATATTGTATTATAAATAATATTTGCATTGTATCTGCATAACAATATAATAGCACCACATAGGATTTTATAGATTCGGAATCATGCAAATATTAAACTATTAATTCTAGTGACATCTCCGTGCCCATTTTAAAATTGAAGACTTTAAACAATTAAGTGAAACTTCCAAGGCCACACAATAAACAAGTTTCATTAGACTCAAGACCAGAATTCAGGAGTTTCCTAGTCCCATAAATAGTCCTCTAGACCTTGCTGCTTTATGTCCTAAAACAATTTGGTTATTGAGGGAAACGGACTATCAACCTCTTACACAGATTATGAAGCTATATTTGGAAGCAAAATTTCAAATCAAGTCATTAAATGAATTTAAAAAACAAGAGACACTGGACACTACTGAGCTAACCAAACTAGTAAGATCATTTTGACAGTTTAGCGCCTGCACTAACTACTTCCATTTTATGCTTCGCATCGGCTAGTATTTTTCCTTATTTACATTTAGGATCCAAACCTAAGGTACTTTTAGGCAAATTTTGTTAGACTGATCAGCCTCTAAACATTAAGATGCAATGTTTATTTTCAGTGATGTATATACATGTTACACATCTTACCATGTAAGATTTTAAAATAGGTTTACGTAACACATACACACACAGTATAAACCTCCATCTTTTGACTTTTTGCCAGCCTGGCTTGAGGATGAGCAAGCAGGAAGGATTAGGCATAAGTTAAAGTCTGCCAACTCTAATAGTACCTAATTAGCACAACAAAAGAAAGTGCCTCAGTCGTTCAGCAGTGGGCAATGCATCTCATTAAACACAACTGAACAACAATTATTTGGTCCCCTTGTGAATAGTTTTGGCACAGCTACCAGAGAGAGAGAGAGAGCTGGAACTAGAGTGTCTGCTTTCTTGGCCCAGTGCTCAAGCTTCAGGGTAAATAGCCTGTTTCTATTACTGTGCACCTGCATCTGACTGCTTCATTTTGATTTGGTCTCCTGCTGTGAAAATGTAGCTTCTTCAAGCACATACAAGCCTTGCCATGCACTTCACATGAAAATTATATTCAGAGATGTCAGCGGTGACCTAAAAACGACAACTAGTCCTCAAAATAACTGCTTCCTTTTAAATTCTGTAAGTTTATGTTTTACTCTTTTTTCCTTTTCATTGCTCTTCTGTTCTAGAAAGAAATCAGAATTTTAGTTTGTTTATATCAGTTCTGTTGAATTATATTTTCAAGTCCGATTAACCACATAAGAAATGACCTTACGCAAAAAAGTCTTCAAAGATGTGGAATTTACTTTGGTCTCTCTTGTTCAGCTCATTCTATTATAAGCCTGGTCTATGTGGTTAAAGATCAGGACTGGGAGGCAGGATATCTGGGTTCTGTACTCAGCTCTGCCACTGATTTGTATGGGACATTGGTTAGATTAGATATTCTCTTCACCTCAATGTGGCTGTATAAAGGTGGATTATAATACTTCTATGGCTCTTAAAGTATACTGAATACTAACACAAAAGTTTTTAGAGAAATACAAAATATTATGTATAGAATTAATGTTTAGAACATCCTCTCTGTGGGTTCGTCTATACAGCAAAGTTACTTAGGAATAACGGCCATTATTCTAAAATAACTATGCGAGCATCACATAACATAACATAACACAGCCATTCTGTTATTTCAAAATAACAGGCACCTTATTCCAAAATCTGTAAACTACATTCTAGGAAGAAGGACGCCTATTCCGAAATAGCTATTTCAAAATAAGGCATGTGCAGATGCTCCACTGCTGCTATTTTGAAATAGCCCCTCACCAGGGGCATTCTAAGTTATTCCTCCCCAGTGCCTCCTGGGGCTCTAAATCATCTACATTAGAGAAGCCTGCTTGGGATTAATTTTGAGGCTTCCCTGCAGTATAGACATGTTATTTTGAAATAAGCTATTTTGGAACAACTATTCTGAGATTGCTTATTTTGAAATTGATGTGCAGTGTAGATGTAGTCTGTGACGACTCAGCCATTCTGATTAAATGGCATTAATGGCATTCTGATTAAAATCAACCAATTCTTTTCTATGTGTTATCTGATAGAAAAGACACCAACCAAGCCATGTATAAATCTCTACAGAGGAAAAATACATGAAAGAAAAGGGAAGGAAGTTGTGTAGTCTTGCATTTCTCCCCCACCACTCTTCATGCTTGAAATTTGGATGCATGATTTACAAACAGAAAAATCAGACATGATAAGGGTGTGCTTTGGTAAACAGGCAGCCTTTGGGGAAATGTCAGTTTTGTGATAAAAAGTAAGTTTAGGAAGCCTTCCATTTCTGTGAATTTCCAGGGGCACATGACAGAGTTTTAATGAATCCCATTCTTCAGTTTCACATGCATTCCAGCTATATGGTGAACACATATTCTTTTGTATGATATTTCAATTTTATTTTAAACAAACCCTCCAATTATTTTAAAGAGTTTAACCTGTGGTGGAGTGAACTTACTAAACTTGGAGATAATTCAATCTTTTAAAATTCTATATCCCTTTAACTTCCCCATACTAAAATATGTAAACTGCACAACTTCATGATTTGTATTAGGGGATGCAATTCTTAAAGATGTAATAAATATTCTAGAGATGATGTAATATGATGTGACAATTGCAAAAGCAACTATACTACATTTGGTTTTACTGATTTTTTTTGTAAGACACAGCCAAACTTAATGTATACTAGGGATGTGAACAGGTAACCAGTTAATTGGTTACATAGTAAGGATCACCCTTACAGGTAACCGGTGCCAGGAGCAGCCCCCTGCTCTGGACTGGAAGTAGGCAAGCAGCAACCTCATGAGGTGAGGAGGGCAGCTCTCCCATGGGACCCCGCTAAATTGGTTAACTGGTTATACGTAGAGTTTAACCAGTTAACTGATTAAATGGGATTTCATGTCCCTACTGTAGACATGGCTTCTGTGCATCGGAGACAGGAAAACATATTATTGGTTAACTTTTAGATGGTGAAAAGGAGGGCAAATCCAAAGGTATGGGGAGGTTCGACAGGAGAATGCACAAACTAAAATAATGGAGCACCTTCATTCCCACTTACATGGGAAAAGAGGCAACATGAATTAGTAAATAACAGTTTGATGTAATGAAAGGGTATAAAAAATTATGTCCCCATTTTAGATGGGAGGAACAGAAGAGAAGAACAGAGCAAAATGGATAACACAGAGAGAAAAACTTTAAGGCAAAATATGCTGAGAATTCATTTATTTAGCACATCAGAAACTGGGAAATTACCACTGTATAAAATTATCAAATAATTTCCCCAAAAAAGTAGTTTCATGCCTTTAAAAAGAAAATTACAATGCTGTCCAAAAGAGTTAAAATGTATAAATATTTATCAGCCTTTTTTTCAAAAGGATAAGTAGAACTCCCTCTGAATACATGAATCCAAGATTGCTAACACAAACATCAGAACATGGTCAGAGGGTGATAATGTTAATGAGGATATGGTAATGATATAATTTTCTTTTATTTTAAAGGCAGTTTATAGATGATCAAAAATTAGACACTGATTTGGGTTTTTTCTTTTCTAAGGTATGTTAAGACCCCAGAACAGTTGATGCTTTTGAAGGCATATGGTTGAATGACAAGAATATCATCAAGGGTTTATAGGGGGACCAAAGTGAAAGATTCATTAAAAATGATAAATGTGATACGACTACTTAATGTTTTTATGCAACTGCACATTCAATATAGCACATCAGTGGCTATGCATTTTAAAATCTTTTTAAAACAAGCTGCCAGATTGTAATCATAGACTAAATTGTTATTTGCAAATGAGCACTTTTTCATTAACATTCCAAAATAATAATTCTTAACAATTCTGTGTTACCAATCAAAACATATTACATTGTGGAGTGGCTAAAGTTAAAAACAAATGACAAACAGTATGCCACTACTGTAAAAAAGAAAAATAATTCACCTTAGTACGTATTTACTTAATAATTAATGGTCCATGATTACAAAATTTATGGTAAGACAAAGTTGAGCTACCAACAGTCATAGACTGTATGCAAAATTCTCATACAAATTTCATTTATGTCCCATCATTTGTGGTTAAGCGCACTGAGCATTTTGCAACTGCTAAATTATTTAGAACTTTGCTCCCATTGTTGTTTTCTCAGTATGATATATCTGAATGTTTACTGTATTTACCCTATACATTTCATCCTATACCACCTTCATAGTACACGTTTCCTTCTAGAAATAAATCCTCAGCAGTTAAATAAGGTCTATAAATAATTAACACAGGATGATAATATCTGCTATTATCTAGTGGACAAAGACATAAGATCCAGTGGCTCAAAGCTGAAATGTGAATTAAAATAAGGTACAAATATTTAACAACAAGTATAATTAGCCGCTGAATCAGCCCATCAAATGGATATTGGCGATTCTTCATCATATGAAGTCTTTTCAACAAAATGGAACATTTTCCTAAAAGATGTGCACTACTTCAACCACACGTCATTGGGCTAGACTCAGGAATTAGTGGGTGAAATTCTGTGTCATGTGTTAAGTAGGATTTCAGTCTATCTGATCACAATGGTCTCGTATGACCTTAATATTTATGAAAGGTATCAAAACCAGCATTTAAAATGTTGGCTAAATAACCAACTAAAATGTTCTCTCAGAAATTCTGTGATGTCGAATACAGATTAAGAAAATCACAACATCTAAGACAGGCCTTCAATTAAAAGGGAAGAAAGTCCTAAATATCAGAAGATGCATAGTAGAAGAAAAATGCATCTCTTCATCTACATGTTTTGTTAGTCTTTAAAATGCTGTTATACCATTTGTTGTTTTTTAAGTTTTTCCAGTTACGGAGTAACTCAGTTTCCTTTCTGAATCTCTTCATACAACTATGGAAATGGAACGATCCCTTTATTGTATTCTGAAATGCCATGGTGGGAGGAGCTGATTACATTCTAAATTCCAGTGTCTCGGTTTTATAAGTGGAAATGGTAATTTAATGAGTGCCTTCTTTTGCTCAACATGTTCCTTTTATAGATACAGAGAAAATGGTTGCCTGCGAAAATACAAAAAACCCAATTGGCAGATGGAAGGAGGTCTTTTCCTGATAAGATACCAAAGGGAGTGCTGCTGGGAAAAGGTGAAAATGGCCTCAAAGGCAAACCTAGTCCAGAGATCACAAATCACAACCCTTAAAGAAAAAAGGGCATGTAAGGTCCCAGTTCTAAGAGTGGGAATAGACTATCTGGATGATTCCCCCCCCCAAGTACAATACACAGTACAATCAAATAGTATTATGCATCAGCATTTACTTTAGATTCCTCAATTGAGCCAATGCTGTTGTTTATATAAATTATTATATGAGACACAACACATTTTCGAACTGTTTTATTGAGAAGTGACAAAATAAACATTTAGGAATACAACTCTGTTAGAAAGGACAATATTCAACTGAGAATCATGGGTGTTTCCTGCCAATTCAGTGATTTACAGTGTGAGCTCAGGGAAGCTAACTGGTGTGTATCTATGTCTCAGTTCCCCATTTCAGAACCTTGTTGCTTTCATATTAAATATTTTACAACCATGCCATATATGTTTTTTTATGCTAGCATAGCAACCTAAGACTTCACAATTCAGTTTTATCTGCTTTGTATATATTAACTTTGTATAGATTCACTTTTTGAGAAAAAGGTTGATTTTGGTGGGAAAGCATAGCATATATTTCTTTTCCATTTAATTTTACCTGTGTTGTTTTTGTGAGAGTTCACAAATAACATGATTTTTTTTTTAAACCAGAGTCATCACCATTAATCTGAAAAGCTAGAAGTATGATGCAGTGTGAAGAAAATATATATTATCTCGGGACACAAAGGTGCTCAAAAAAGCTACACATATATAGGATATACTCAGATGCCTGAATAACAGCTCTGAAATGTGGCTAATTATTTTCTGTTAAAATTGTTGTTACATGGCATTTCTGCAACTAACAGATATTTTGAAGACTGCATAAGCTTCTAGAAAAAATGATTATGGCATGATACAAACTAATTTATTTAGACACCCGAGGAATCGGAGTTGTACTTGATCTATTTATTGCATTGATTTTTAAAATTTCTCTGCTGGTGTTCACAGAGCAAAACATGTACATGTCTGCAGGAGTGTGTAGATTAACATCTTTGGGGTATTTTATATGGAAGAGGAGAATATTGTCCTGGGGCAATGGTACTCTGTCCTATGCTAATATGGACAGATTCAAAATAGATAGCCTCTTGATTGAGAGAACTAAAATAAATAAATAAAACAAGATTGTAGATTTTAGTTTTCTTTGTAGTCACTACAGGAGTAATTGCTCAAATCTTATTATTATTATAATAAGTTCTTAGCCTCTCTGTTTTATAATACACTTCATTTATAAATGATGTAATAGGTTAAAAAACTGCAGAAATAAGATCAGGTTATCTAAGGATGTCTGTAGGAGAGCTTCTGTTTATTCAACGTCTGACACCTTAGTATCAGAAATAAATGTACGAGGCTGGTAACAACACAGTAAACAAAATGTTTTAAAGTAAAACCAAAAAATACCCATTTCACTGTGAAATGTGGCACCTGCTTCTTAAACAAAAGGCTGGGAGAATGAGATGGATGGCCACAGCTGAAAGAGTCTTCCTATTCTGTCATCTGATCTGCCTCTTCCTTTGTCCCTTACTTGATGGATAGTGATGTAATTAAGGACTGATTCCACTCCTGCCATGTTTTAAATATTTTTCAGCGGGACAGCCAGTAGTTCTGACCCAGGCAGGGCCAAGGGCTCTAGTGGGGTTAAACAGCTGTAAGCGAGGAGGGGCAGTGGGCTCCGTCCAGGGACAGGCACTAATTAGGGTTGCCAAATGGTTTCAACAAAAATACTGGACACATTTGACATTATAGCACAATCGACATTACATCTTATTTAGAAAATACCGGACATTTATATTTTCTCAATTTGTTTCCCGAACAGAAAGCTCAAATACTGGACTGTCCGGTTCAAAACTGGACACCGGGCAACCCTAGCTCTAATGGGAGTCAATGGAGCAATGGGCCCCAGCATGGCTGGGATGGCAGCAGGCTCCGGCGGGGCTGGTAGCTTTGAGTCTGGCGAGGCAGTGGGGGTTGGTGGCTTGGAGCTTGGCCAGGCCAGTGTGGGAATGGCCCAAGGGGGCTGGTGGCAAGGGGGCCAGCAACCCACTTGGTCTGGCATCAGGGGGCCAGCAGCCTTACTGTGGCTGTGAAGCCAGCAGAGCTGGCGGCTAGGCCCGGAGCGGAGCCAAGCTAAGCTGTGGGGGCTGGTGGCAGGGGGGCCAAAATTGACATCCCCTGGTCCAGCAAACTACCTCGTTTGAGACTAGTCAGGTATTGTATTACATAAGCTAAACAAATATAAAACATTGCCCCAAATTTACATGAAAAATGTGAATAAATTTGGGTACTTCTACAGTGCATTCTTATTTCAAAATAGGCTATTCTGGAAGAAATACTCTGAAATAGCTTCTTTCAAAATAGCGCCTCTACACTAAAGGGAAGCCTCAAAATTAGTCCTGGTCAGGCTTCCCTATTGTGGACATACTACCTCAATTTAGAGCTCCAGGAGGCACTGGGGAGTACTTACTCTGAATGGCCCTGGGGAGGGGCTATTTCAAAAAAGCAGCTAGGGAGTATCCATACTACTGCTATTTCGAAATAGCTATTTCAGAATAGGCATTATTCCTCATGGGATGAGATTTACAGAAGTCAGAATAAGCCGCCCGCTATTTCAAACATATCGCTGCTATCTGTATGAAACCACTCAATTTCCATACATTTTAAGATCAGAAGGAAACATTATGATTATCTTGTCTGACCCCCTGCACAACACAGGCCATAAAATTTCACATAGGAATTCCAGCATCAAGTCCAAGTCACTGTATGTCTACACTACTGCAGTGCATCTGGGGAAGATACATTATGCTGACAGGACAGAGCTATCTGGCAACTTAGCACTGTCCACACCAATACTTATATTGGTGTATTTCATGTTACTCAGGGGAGTAGTTTATTCACCTCCCCTGAGCGACACAAACTATGTTGACATAAGCTATAGAGTAGACCAGTGGTCTCCAATCTTTCTAACCACAAGATCACTTTTTCAATTTAAGTGCAATGTCAGATCTACCTCAGACCACAAATACCATTACCCTGCTTCCTTTCCACCCTTTCTCTGAGGCCTCACCTTGCTCACTCCATCCGCCTTCCTCCGAAACCTCATTCACTTTCATCAGGCTGGGGTAGCGGGTTGTAGTGCAGGCTCTGGTCTTGGGCCAAAGGGTTTGGAGTGTGGGAGGGACTTAGCCCAAGATAGGGGATTAGGGCCCAGGAGGTATTTCAGGGTGCAAGCTCTGGGAAGGAGTTTGGGTGCAAGGGGACTCACGTCTAGGGCAAGAGGTATAGGAGGAGGTTCAGGGCTGGGACAGAGGTTCAGGATGCAGGCTCTGGCTGGGCACCATTTAACAGACAGCTTCTGGGTGGTGGAGCAGTGGGGTTAAGGCAGGCTTACTCCTGCTGTGGCCTTGCACCACTCCTGAAAGCAGCTAGCACGTACAGCAATGGCTCCATGGTGCCATGTGCTGCCCCTTATCTACAGGCACTGAGCCCACAGCTTCTATTGGCCATTACTGATCACTGGGAGCTGCAGGAGTGGTGTCTGCAGGCAAGGACAGAATGTGGTGACCCCCTGCTCTGCCTTTCTCATGGGCTGCAGGGACATGCCAGCCACTTCCAAGAGCAGCAATTACCACAGGGAGAATTACTCCAGCCACAAAATGTTAGGCATTTTAGAACTCACTGCTCAAATAATTAAATTTAAGCGTAAGAGAGAAATGAAATTTATGAAATGCACAGACCAGTCAAAAACCAAAATAACAGACTTTGCAAGCAGTAAAAGTAGTAACAACAACCCCCCCAATGGGCTCGTCTACACTGGCCCCTTTTCCGAAAGGGGCATGTTAATTTCACAGGTCGTAATAGGGAAATCCGCGGGGGATTTAAATATCCCCCGCGGCATTTAAATAAAGATGTCCGCCGCTTTTTTCCGGCTTTTAGAAAAGCCGGAAAAGAGCGTCTACACTGGCCCCGATCCTCCGGAAAAAAAGCCCTTTTCCGGAGGATCTTATTCCTACTTCAAAGTAGAATGACGGAGAAACTTTTCTAAAAGCCGGAAAAAAGCGGCGGACATCTTTATTTAAATGCCGCGGGGGATATTTAAATCCTCCTTGGATTTCCCTATTACGACCTGTGAAATTAACATGCCCCTTTCGGAAAAGGGGCCAGTGTAGACATAGCCCATGTGTGCTGGGTTGGGAGATGAGTGTGAAGGACAGTGAATGTTTGTGAGAATGACAATGTCCCAGAGAGGCATAAGGATTTTGCACAAACAGGGTTTTTGCACACACCCCCAAAAATCCACACTGATTCTTTTTGCGCAAAAACCCCTTGCACAAAAAGAAATGGCAGAAAATATGCTAATGAGATTGCAACTTATGATAATGAGTCCCTCATTAGAATATTTTCTGCAAGAAGAACTTGGAGTGAAGACGTAGCCACAGTGTGTGTGTGTGTGTGTCAGATATTTGCATTGGCAAGCTTCCTGCATCCCCTTCTCTCTGTGTGGGGATAGGGTACAGAAGTGGTGGGAGAAGGGACACCCTGACATGAGCTCCCCCCGCATCTTCTCCCTCCTAGACCCTGCACAGCAAGTAGGAGGCTCTCAGGATGGCAGCTCCAAAGCAGAAGGCAGGAGCAGCATGAGGTGTAGGGACAACTGAAGTGCTAGCTTCCTGACTAAACCAGTAAGAGTTACCTGTCAGGCACCAAGATCTACCAGTAGATCCTGATTGACTGGTTGGTGACCACTGGAGTAGACATAGCCTATGGCATCTACTTTTTATTGAAAGTTTTTGAATGACGGAGAAACTGTCACATGTCTCAGTCATTTTTTCAATGTTAATTACTCTCACTGTTAGTTAGAATCTTCTTTCCAGTCTAAATATGTCTCAATTCCACATACAGTACTATTATTCACATGGGGTGCACAAGGAGGGAGAGAGGATCTGACATGTCCAAGATTACAGAATAAAGTTTATACCAAAACAGGAACAGAAGCTGTCTCCTGAATCCTAGGTCAGTTTATTAACTGTAAGACTTCATTGCCTCAATCTTTTCTCCTTCCATTCCAAATTGAGAGAGAACAATTAAACTGGATTGCTCAAAGAATCTATATTCCCATAGCATTCAGACATAACTGGATTAGAACTTCACTGTGAAAATATACTGTAAACAAAATCAAAGCTCGCTTAATGGGCCTGATTCTGATTACACTAAAATCTATACAAAATCCTAGTAACTCTGACCTCAGAGGAGTTATTGTGGTATAATCTGGAACATACTGTTCCTTCTTGCTAGAATTATGTGCACAGAGGTTTGTGGAAATACACAATTTCAATTAGTGCAATTGACTTATTCCTTGGTTTTGAAAATTCAATTCTTGTATTTGACCTATGAACTGTTCTTTTACTGGATATGTGATTTCACATTCTGGTTTCTGAAACACACACAAACAAGGCTTATGAAATAACTTAGGCCAGAAAGATGCCTGAACGAAAAAGTTATGGATAAAAGTTATCAGCTAATAAGGTAAGGGATGCAACCAGGTAAATGGGGCTCAGTTTAGCACTTTAACCCTAAAAATTGTTCTAATTCCACTGCGAAAAAGCTACTGAAAGTTAGAATGTTAGTACAATTTTTTGTACTGAAAAAATTCCCATAAACAAATTCAGTAATAAATGCCGTAACATTTTCACTCCTCCTACTGAACAATCCCTAATCAAAAATAATGTAGAGTTCAGATTTGTTAGCGAAGAACACAGATTAGAAGTCATAAATTAGTTTTACATTTATAACCAGAGAAAAGTAAACAAATATTTTTTGCCACTGCACCATATCACGCATATTGGTATGTTGAAAACAATCAACTATGATTTCTTTTCCCTTTTAAATAAACAAACAAATGATTTATTTAAATGATTTAGTGAAGAGTGACAAAAATGATTAAAGGTCTAGAAAACATGAGCCATGAGGCAAGGCTTAAGGAATTGGGCTTGTTTAATTTGGAAAAGAGATCGAGAGGGGAGATGATAGCGGTTTTCAGGTATCTAAAAGAGTGTCACAGGGAGGAGGGGGAAAAATTGTTCTCCTTAGCCTCTGATGATAGGACAAGAAGCAATGGGCTTAAACTGCAACAAGGGAGGTTTAGGTTGGACATTAGGAAAAACTTCCTAACTGTCAGGGTGGTTAAACACTGGAATAAGTTGCCTAGGGAAGTTGTGGAATCCCCATCTCTGGAGATATTTAAGAACAAGTTAGACAGACATCTATCAGAGATGATCTAGATGGTGCTTGGTCCTGCAGTGAGGGCAGGGGACTGTGGACTTGATGACCTCTCGAGGTCCCTTCCAGTTCTAGGATTCTATGACTCTATGATTTAAAAATCCCATATTGCTAATGCAATGGTAAAACTGAACTAGCCAGCAATTAAAATTAAGAATTTCAGAAGATCAAAATTATTCCTACAAGGCAAGTTTTAGACGTGTAGAATTTTCAATTGTTGTTTTCCCTGTTAACTAATCTAAAGCTTAATGTACAATATAGTGGTAACATATAAACTAAAAAAACAATGTGCAACATGGCTGAGGTTCTGCCTTAGGTTGAGGAGTTTTCTTCATGAATTAGTTTAAGGTGGTTTAAAAATAAATGATTAGCTTCATTAAACCTTTTAAGGGGAAAATTCAAAGTAG